AATTTGCGCCCGACCCGTTTTAAATGCGACTTACTGGCAGCTCTGATAATTTGCTGGCTGGAGCAGACGACGATTAACGATCATGTCTTTTTATTGGTAAGAATGACTTTTTGTGGAGTACAGTGAATAAGTAGTGTATATACTCTTCTCTGTTACCTAAACTTTTGTATATCAGAATAAGTATACGAGGATGTATCATTTCTCTTAATTAATACATGAAGAATTGTTTATAAAACTCTAAATAAATCTTTTTCTTTATTAATAATCCCAATTGCTCGAGTTAGATCAGAACTTCCACATGAAATGCAAATATAACCTAGCTTCGTTGACAATACCAAGAAATTTGGTTGCATTGTTGTTACACAAATAATGATAAATTAATTATTGAAGACAATTAGAAAGTTCGACAAGTCAAGTCGTTAGATTTTTCATTAACATATTTTTCCCATCTTCTTTAGATTTTTTTTTTTTTCTGTTATTGTCGAAAGTCTTTGTCTTACATGGTGTGTCTAGATATTTGGTGCTCTAAAGGAAAATGAAGAAACAAGGCATTAACATTGAACATACTTTTATCGTCGATCTTATCATGTTATGTATAGAGTCATCAAACTCGTCAATACCTAACCTAAGGTGTGATTAAACGTGCATTCGGTAAAGAGCTTACTTAATGTTTCTGTTAATTTTTACGGAGCTTTTGATGTTTACTACTCTTCTTGTTTCAGTAAAAATGTCATTTGAGAGGGTTAAAATATATATCTATGATTAAGAAAATCAGTGGAATTTAAAAACAAGAATACCTTCTAGAACGTTATTAAAGAACCTTCTATGTCTTGATATTAAATCATATATAGCAATATCATCACTGAACTTATAATAACAAAAGAAAGCCAATTAACTGGTTTACAAATTTTGTTACCCTGTTTTAGCAAGGGTATTCGCATTGGCACAAATTATAATTACCAAGGGAGTTACAAAATCCACGTCCACCATTATACTTTTGTGCGCAGTTGGTATCACAACATTTATCAGGACAATTCCCACTGCACATACCAGTCCCACCGCTGCAAACGTTTCTTTTGGGGGGTAAAGTTGGTCCACACTCGTAAGTGCATGTGCACGACAACATCCCAACCTCTCCATCACATTTGCTTATGCATGATGGTCCGTGTTTGGCCTTGCATCTTTCGTCACATTTTTTGCAAAGGCCTAAGCTTTCATCGCATGAAATTGCTCTTGTCTGATTCACAACTAGAGCATTGTATACCTTATTAAACTTCATATAGAAATAAGAGTACTTACTTACACACTCTATGGAAATAAGGTATACAAGTAAATACTAACAATGAGAAGACTTAAAAAAAAAAAAAAAACTCTATGATACAAATCATTTTCTATGAAAAAAAATACTATCAATATAAGAACCAATCATTTTCTATGAAAAAACAAATTCATATTACCATCATACTATTGTTTTAATTATCAAAAATCATACTATTGTTTTTTTTTCTTTTCAACCATTGCCATTTGAAATATGTTATTTTATCTACGTTGTACTAGAAATATTTATCAAGCAGAGGTGCTTTGGTCAATTGTCCATAAACTGGTAATAGCAAAATTTGATTAAAAATCGAATAAAATAAAGAGACATAACAATTGAAAGATATACAAGGTACCTGTGACAAAAATGATAAGTAAGCTAGCAAAGAATACAAGTGAAGGAATCCTCTCCATACTTTCACGTTTTTTATGTTTCTTCTTAACGTCTGTCTTTAAGAGAATTGATTGTATGATAATATTAGGGCATTTAGTCCATTATATAAAAACAAGCTAAGAAGAAAAGAGTTTGAAGATAAGGACATTAATTTCTCCTCCATGAATACTTATTTATCATGGGTTACAAAATCTTAGTTTCTTCTAAAAGAGATGTAATGTAAATAGAAAATTAGATACTAAACCAATAAAATGCATACATCACTCCATCGAATCTAATATCATTTCAAAATTAATTTGTAAAAATCCCATACTATCTTTTATGCATGATTTTATGAGATTTCATTATCATTTTCCATTTTCTTTTTAGATTTAAACAGAAGAATACCTCTAAACATATTTAGAACAAACTCAAGCCTGGGTTTATATATCATTCCTTATTTGTTTTTAATATTTTCTTAAAAACAAAAAAAAACAATCAAAATATTTGAAGTAAGCAATTGAAATATATTAAATGAGTAACATTTATTTTTACATTTTTAAATGTATAAGATAACAATTAACTTAGCACTCAAAAATTAGGAAAAGCTACAATCTAATTTTTTCCAAAACAAATGGAAAGAATAATTCAATTTTTTTTTTTTAAGCTAGTATGATCTCTTATTGTATTTTTAATGCTTTTATAGCGTCTCACTATTTTAAATTTGAATTTCACAATTTTATTTACAAGTGGATTATGTATTATCCGCGTTGCGCATGATTTTAATTTAAAACTTTCATCTATACGGCCTTTGTGTATAAATATAATCATTTGAATTTTAAAATATTTTAGTTTTTCATATGCATTAGCTTTCGAAAGTTTAGTAAATCATTTCAAACACTTTTCACTACAATTTCTTTTGTTGTTTTTCTATGATTCACTCGTGGACATCAGTCTCTTTATAGAGGAGAAGTCTTTGAGACAACAAAAGTGACAAGCACTGCAAGTAGATTCATGAATGCTACACCGAGGTCTTGTTTTTATCGATGATTGCAATTTCTCCGGAACTTATTCTCAACTTGATAAGCACTTGAAAAATGAGCATCGCGGTCTCATCCCACCAAAGGTCGATCCACAAAGGCAATGTAGGTGGGAACAAATGGAGAGACATGTGAAATACGTTGACCTCATGAGTGCAGCTGAGATTCCACATATCCCTGATGTTGTACATCATCAACTTCCTTACACTCATCATCTTCCAGTGTTTCGGTTGAACATTGTTAATGGAACCGTGCGAAATATCATTCGTCCGGTTCACGTAAGGAACTGATTTGGTGCCACCAACTACGTCGTAGGTCACATGCCTAGACTGCATTTTTGACTGATGAACGGTGCTGGATTCCTTGAAGAAATCTAACAAGCTTACATTGCTTACCAAGAACCAAATATATATTATGATTTTGATCGAAGCTTAATGTATATATATATAGTTAATTTGGATCCAGAATATGTTGGACTTGTTTTTGACAAAATGGTTTTGACCATTGTTATGGTGGATTTTCCGGTGAAGACATTCATCGGAATGACCGGTTCTTGGGCACGATGGAATCGTTGCTGCGAGCACTACGTGATGGTGTATTGAAATGTCAAAAACGGAGTTCGTTTGAATGAGAAATGGAGGTCCAAAGTAACTTGCTTGCTTAGCTTGGAATTTTGACTTAAAGTCAAAATTGTATACTTTGGAAGTTAGAGGAGAAATCCAAACATACATGGGTTGGATTTGAGATTTGAAATTTGGGAAATGGGCTTACAACCCATATAATTATTTTATTTTCCCAAATTTATTTTGATTTAAATTAGTGATTAAATCAAAAATATCTACCTTAATGATTGTGTGTACTCAATTGAGACAATTAGGGTCAAAAACGTTTTTGACTTAATCGTGAGATTTAAGTCTCTTGATTGTGTCATTAAGGTGATATATTCTCCTCTTTGATGCCATGGACGTGGAGCTCTTGTGCTATAAAGTCATGGTCATTGTCTCTCATTCTAAGCATCGTTCACCAACATAATCTCCTTCCTCTTCTTCTCTTTTCTAGTTCGAGTCTGAGAGTACAACACAAGGCTAGTGTTCGATTAGCTTTTGATTTGAGTGTTGCAATCAAAAGGAGAAACAGTTTTATCCTGGGACTCTAATTGTCATCAAACCGGCACACTACGGGGCGATTTTTGAGTTAAGGAGAGAGATCATCAACGTTCTCAACTCTGTTTACCACCGTGAATCTTCGTTCTTCAATCATCCTTTCGGTATTGTTGATTTTTGATACTTGTTCTATGTTATTTGTTTTACAAATATTAGATTGTGCCCTTATTGAAATATTAAGGTCCTACAGAATATTTAAAATTCAATATTTAGAGAAATATCTTACCTTCCAAAGTTTTGTTTAATAATATCTTGACTTATTATTTTCTTTAGAGAAAAAATCATATAAATAGACCATATATTCACTAAAATACACAAATATTTTGGATACATGAAAAACATGAATTAATTTTGTCTTTCATACACAAATTTTCAAATAGTACTAACACCCACATCGAAAGTAATTTCTGTTAACTTTTCTAATTTATCAATCAAAATATTAATATTGAAATTATAAATTTATTTTCAAATAATAATAAATTCTTGAAAATTTCCAAAAAAAAAAACTGAAAACTCTCTTAAATTAAATATTAAAATTCAGTTTCATACGAATTTTTTAGTTATTTTTAATTATTTTTTATAAAATTAAGTAGTTTGGAGTAAGAATTATGAAAAACATATCTTTTGGACTTTCGAATTTTTCAAGAATTTATTAAGGAATTTTAGAGAGTTTTCAAAATAATTTGAAAAATGATATAGATTCTAAATAATTCGGTTGGTTCGAATCAATATGGAATTCAAGAATATTAACAGTGTTAATAGTCTATGGTTATCTTTTTTCTTACATTATTTAGCGTAAACAGTAAAACTTCTGATAGTTCTTGAGAGCTCTCCTCTTCGGAACAGCTCGACCTTCACGCCAATGGCGTCTTCTTCTCTTACTTCGTTCCCATGCCTATCCTCGCTCAAAATGACGATTAAGCCCATGGCAGCTCTCACCAATCCCCCAAGAACGAAAACTCCATACGAACTGAAAAAGGGGCAAAACCGTCTCTTCCACAAGCTTCCCTCTGGTCTAAAAATGGAGGTAATCGAACAACGAAGAAGCAAATCCGAAAGAGAGAATCCACCATTGGTGTTTGTACATGGAAGCTATCACGCAGCTTGGTGTTGGGCTGAACATTGGTTACCTTTCTTCTCTTCTTCTGGGTTTGATTCTTATGCTGTTAGTTTACTAGGTCAGGTAAATTCTCAAATCATCAAAGTTTTGATTTTTATGCTGAGTTTCGATTTCCCCAATATCTAGTTAGACTTTCAAGATCATAAAGTTTCAAACTTTGGATTGAAATTGAGTGATTTGTTATCTTTAGGGTGAAAGTGATGATCCTTTGGGAACAGTTGCTGGAACACTTCAGGTACTTGAAACTTGCAATGTGCATTGTCTTCATTGGATAATTACTTGATTCAGCAAGATTCTTACTTGTTTGTGTAGTAGACGCATGCAAGTGATATTGCGGATTTTATCGAATTGAATCTTGGCTCTTCACCTCCTGTTCTTATTGGTCATTCTTTTGGAGGACTCATTGTTCAATATTACTTGGCAAATATTGTAAACAAGCAGACGTTAGGTAAGGTGTATATTCATTCAAATGAGTTTCGTTTTCTGGATCAGGTGTAAGAATGCCTATACGATAACCGATGAGTTTGTTGTTTTCGATTCCAGGAATGGAAAATGCGTTTCCAGAAGTTTCAGGGGCTGTACTTGTTTGCTCGGTTCCACCTTCGGGTAATAGGTAAACTTCTCGCAACCTATTGGCTCTTTCCTATATCAGTGAACTTCTTCGTTTAGCTTCTATATAACTTCCGGGACTCACTTTGTTGTTCAGCGGCTTAGTTTTACGTTATCTCTTCTCTAAACCTGTGGCTGCTTTTAAGGTAATAATCTTTTTCTGTATCTTGCAAGGATGATCTCAGTGTCATGTTCAACAATGTTTGTTCTTGGTTATGTTCTTGAGTAGGTTACTCTCAGTTTAGCTCCTAAAGGTTTTCAGAAATCTATTCCTCTTTGTCGGGAAACATTCTTCTCTCAAGCCATGGATGATCAACTTGTGAAGCGGTATACCTATAATCTAGCTCAATAGTCACCTCTAATCTAAAATCAAGTTTCAGTAATCTAAACAAATTGTCTCTCTCTTTTCTTGATTCAGTTACCAGGATCTTATGAGAGAGAGTTCACGGATGCCGCTGTTTGATCTGAGGAAGCTAAACGCATCACTTCCAGTACCGAAACCAATGGAAAATTCTACAAATGTTCTTGTTTTAGGCGCCAAAGATGACTTCATAGTGGTAAGAACTACGAACGCACCCTCCTTTGTCCTTTCTAACCAAACCAGAAAGTTTTTCAATCTTGGTACTTGTATTACACCGAAATGGGTTATGGTTTTGCAGGATGATGAGGGGCTGAAGGAAACCGGGCGGTTTTATGAGGTTGAACCGGTTTGTATTGAAGGTGTTGCTCATGACATGATGCTAGATTGTTCATGGGAGAAAGGTGCTGAGGTTCTTTTGAGTTGGCTTTGTGGTTTGTCTAAACCGGGAAATTTATCTGCTTAATGGAGTATTTGTGTAGATAGCTGCTTCTCTTTTTTTTTTTTTTCAGGTAAAAGAAAGAAAAGTGAAGTGTTGATTTAGTTTGTGGATATTAAAAATAAAAGTGTGGGACAAAAACAAAATTGCAATTTTCATTTTCAGGCCATAATTTCAGCTTAGATTTGGATTTCTACATTCGCGGAGGCGGTCTGGTTCCTGGTGAGAGCTCGTGGTTCGTCGAAGATTTCTTCAACGTCCACAAAATCATCTCTACAAAATTCAAAGAGAGACCCAAATTCAAAAACTGTAATTCAGATCACAAGAAACTGAGAAAGATGATATTGTTTTACCTAAATCAGAGATGAATTCAATTGGAGATGCTAAACGGTTGTTGAAATGGAAGAAATTGTTTTTTGTTTAAACAACAAAGATGAGATCAAAAGATTTCAATATAACTTTACCTCGTCACCTTCTTCGTCATGGAGGATTTTTTTGTTTTGCTGGAGATCAGTTAATCAGTGTGTTGTTCTTCTCTGAAGTTCTGAAGTCTCATGACATGGTGGCTTTGTGTTGTGGCTTTTTTCCATCATATTAATGAACTTAGAGTTGGAGTACTCCACATTCTTTTATCACCGCTTCGTTACCCTGGATGCCGAACGAAAATAAAAGCTCGTTGCACGTCACATCAGCTTCAAACTCAAAGATGAGCAAATGCTCTCTTAAAATGGGAGGCACGGGAAAGCAATATTCAGGTCTGTATGAAACATCGACGCCAATTTTACCTTTCTCTGTTATTCTAGGAAATACAATTGTTTCCCTAGCGGCGGCCTCCTCCTTGTCATTGTCAACATTTTTATCCAACAAGACGCAAGCCTTAAATCTCAAGGTCGTAGAAAGAGGCCTTTGATTCAAATTTACCATTATGGAACTCCCATTAGCTCGGTAAGTGATGTTTGCGGGCACTTCTCTAGCGGGTAAGAGCGCAAAGGTACTACTACTAGTCTGGATGAATTCTCTCGCTTCATTATTCAGCTTGAAGCAATTAATAAACCTGAGAAATATTTCTGGATGATTGTGAAAGGAGAAATCAAGTCTCTCCAGTGACTGGCAATTTATGGCTGCTACTTTTGATAAGGAATCTGAAAGTTGTGGGATTGTTACCAGCCTCTTGCATCCCTCTAGTACAAGTGTCTGAAGACGAGAGATTTTCTTAACCCACAGAGGAATTTCTTGTATTTCTACATCGTTAAAGTAAAGCTTTGTGATGATATCGAGAGCATGTGGGAATTCCTTGAGATTGTCATTGTATGACATTTCCAAGTTACGAAGATGAGACCATGACTTGATCGTCGAAGGCACTTCTTTTATTGCAGTTTTCATGAGCATGAGATCCTTGATGTTTGTGGAGATCTCCGGAAAACTTTTGATCAGTAAGCAAGCGGTGAGATCAAGGTTATTGAGAGATTCCAAGTTGATATTAGTAGGAAGAGCCTCTAGCTGTAAGCAATCAGTGAGATCAAGGGCATTGAGAGATTCCAAGTTGATATTAGTAGGAAGAGCCTCTAGCTTTGAGCATCCTTGTAATCTCAACTCTTGCAATTTTTGAAGGTTTCCAAGAGAGGAGGGGAGCTCCGCCAAACTTGAGCATCCAAACAGATCCAATTTTTCAAGGTTAGTGGCAGTTGAGAGATTAGGTAACTCTTTTAGGTGTTTAGACTCACGCAAATCCATCCTCTTGAGATTTCCAAGGGGCTGCAGAAACAAATAAAGACAACATAAGAAGACGCATTAAAAATAAATTCAAATAATAACTGAAAAATTAAATTCTTTGTTCATACAACTTATACATAGTTCCTCCCTTTCCACCAATGATACTAACCATGGAGGGATACTACAATTTAAGCAAGCATAATAAAGACTACAAGAGATAGCCTTCTAAGAAGATCACTCCTTTTTGACCCAATATTTTAAAATTGGAGAGAAACACAACAATTCTGTACCTGATTTCCTTGCCACATGTTCTGAAGTTTGCTGTTCCACATATCTATATGGACTAGATACTTCGTACAAAAATTGGAAGGTAAACATTTCATTGGAAAACAGCTCCATTCTATTAATCTAAGTTTCCGAGGTAGATTATTCAAACCTTGCGGTAAGTACAATTGTTTGCCTTCACCGTCATATGGGCCATGGAATCTTAAGAATTTAAGGTTAGACAATCCTTCAAAAGCTCTCTCACTGATATTTAATTCGCCTGATAGGTTATATAACTCGAAAAGTATACCTATAACATTTCTACTACCCTGTAAAAAGAGCAGAAAAGATAGAAAACAAGAGATAATTAGCTATTGAATGAATTTAATTTGTAGATAAAACAAGGAAACAAGAGAATAATAATAGAACTAACCGTGTTATCAGTGAGTACTTCACAAATATCACTAGCATCTAACAAAAATTGACGCTTCCCAGGCTCACGAATGCATTGGTGCCCAGGCTTATGACGGACAATGTCTCTACCTAATTGCACTAATAGATTGTGCATCTTTATACGTGTATAGTTAGTAGAACGAATCTCAATAGCTATGAGAGATTTCTCAGCTAAGAGGTGAAGCCCTTGCCTAACATCTAAGAAACTTAAAGCAAGATAATCTTCCACTTTCACCATTTCTTCATTGTTGAAAAGGCACGCTATATGAAGAAATAAATCTTTATCTTCTTCACCTAATGCATCGTAACTAAACTTTAAAATGCTTTGAATACTAGCATCAAGGCGAATCTTTAACCACTCATGCATTTACATTCCCCGGAAGTGGGATCCCATAACTCTTAGTCCCAAAGGTAGATTACCTAAAAGTTTTGTAACTTGCCACGCAAGCTCCTCAAAACCATCTTTAGGGAACTTTTGGCCAAAAGCATACATACAAAACATCTGATAAGCTTCATATGCTGATGGAAACTCCACCTTGTAAATATGGTTGATGCCATGTGCCTTCAAAAGCCTTTGGTCTTGTGTTGTGATGATAATCCGACTTCCATGACCGAACCACCGAGTTTCTTTTGCAATAGCATCTAGTTGTATTGATTGATCAATGCTATCAAGAACAATAAGCACTCTCTTGTCGTTCAACCTATCTTGTGCAACTCCTAAATGAGGAAGCTCCATATCCTTGTGGTTGATTATTTGGGACAAAAACTGTTGCTGTAACTGAATCTTTGCACTATACTCATCAGAACACATTGGTCTTGTATACATCAGCTCTTTGATATTCTCCATGAAGATACTCAATTCAAAACTTTCAGAAAATTGGCTATATAAGACTCTGGCAATGGTAGTCTTCCCAATCCCAGACGGACCCCAAATCCCAATCATCCTTACTTCATCAGAGTCTAGGCATAACAACGATTCCATTTCTTTCATATGAGCCCCCATCCCAATTAAATCGTCAAAATCTCTTGATGGTGAGTATCTATTCAGCATGTTTGAAACATCAGTGGCGATTTTTTCAGTCATGGTTGCTTCATTATCCCTAACAAATTAAGTGACCAATTTATACAAAAAATTATGTATTGGTTGTCTTGAAATTCTTTAAAATCTACCAATAAATATAGTTTGATGTGTTAATAAAATATTAGTCAGGGCAAGTATAAATTAAGAAAGCTAACCAGTTACGGGAATGCTCCCCAGCGATTGTTGCCACAGCCTCCAAAACGTTTTGCCATCTCTTAATGTCCTCTTTGGTTTTACCTTTACACGTTTTCTTGAAGACCTTCCCAAAATCTCCTGTCTGCTTCTTTACGTCCGTTGGATTAACGTCATAGAAAATGGTCATCACTGTTTGACCCAACTCTTCTCTACACTTCATGATCTCCACCAACTCGTTTAAGCACCAAGACGAAGAAGCGTAGTTTCTCGAGAGCAAGACGATCGCGATCTTCGATCTTTTTATAGCTTCTATGAGCTCAGGACCGATAGACTTGCTCCTCTCGATATCATTATCAATGAATGGAACGATTCCCTTTCCTTTGAACTCTTTTAGGATGTGAGCAAGAAAGGTTTTACGAACATCTGCCCCGTGGAAGCTTGGGAAGACCTCGTGTTTCCGATTTTGAGACAAAGAAGATGGAGTAGATGAAAAAGATAAAGTAGAAGAAGAAGAAGGAGAAGAAGCTATTGTTTTGTTTTCTTGATGGGATTTGTGTTTTCCATAAAACATAAAAAATATTGTACCGAAAAGAGTGAAGAAGGTTATTGCAGCAGCACAAAAACCAAAGTAAAAAGAAGAATCCATCAAGTATGATCAAGAGAAGATCAATATCTCAAAGCTTTTCAGAAACCAATCTGCAGAAGGAAATGGAAAGAGCTAGTTTGTTTATTGAATCTTGAAAATGCTTTTATTGAGATAGTCATAAAAGAACTTTAAGTTAACGTCTTAACGAGTCCCTATACTTTTAACTTATTACGAATCCTTTCCATCATATTATTATCCACTTGGAATTATTACTATAGTTTATAATATAGATAAATTAACACAATAAACCGAACTAAAAAATTCAGTAATGTGAAGTATAATGGGGGCAAATTGATACTAACGTAAAGATGTTAAGAGAGATTTTGATAACACCAAAAATTGTAGGGCTCTTCTTCTAATGACGCAGGATTTATAATATTTTACCTTGACAATTTCTTCGAAACCTCCTAATGATGCAGGGAGGGTTATATATTTTTTAGTTATTTACATTTTCTTGGAAGAAGGACTTTGTCGCAGAAAATTGAGCGATGATCAATGTCCGACCAAAACTGCAGACGTTAGACAATGAAATACGAACCAATATTTAACCACAAGTCAAACAAAAATAAATAAAAAGTCACTTAAAAAACTACAGGTTGGAGAAATGCTAAATATTTGATTAGCTATGTGTAAAACCTATCTTCTTATATAAAGTAGGTGTAAACACGTTGGAACGTATTTATAAATTCGTTGGAACGTAACCCCTGATTTGTATTGATATGCTCAAATTATCTTTAAGCAACTCTCTCAAATAAGAGATATGTGTAGTATTTAAAAATCGAATTCCACAAAAAAAAAATATTCACACAAAAAACTAATAATTTCGAAATTAAGCTAAATAGAATATGAAAAAATTAAAATAAAGCAAAACAGTTATATCAATGTAAATTCAAATGAATTAAAGCGTCAAGCTTAAGCAATTTCTCAGGAAATATTAGAATATTAGATCTAGCAATTAGTTAGGAATTATTACAGAACTGTTCTAGAACTCTAATCACGCAATTATAATCAACCAACTCTCGTCTGTATTGACTATCTATGTCTAGTAGCAGGAATTCCAATTCTTGTCTGTAAATCCCTAAAATTAAACAAGCATTAACGATCATGTTCGATATGTTTACAAAAGTATTTAA